GGGGGGGGGGGGGGGCCTCGACGGAGGAGGTAGAGCGACAGTTAGAGGAGAAGAGACCAGAGGGAGAGAAGCCACGACATGGTGAAACGGGGAGCGAGAGATGGCGAGAGACGGATAGGTGGCGGATAGAGAGAGAGAGAGAGGCCGGCCGGGGTGTCGGGAGCGGGATACGGCAGAGGGTAGGGAGGAGGACGGCTGAGAGGTGGAGGTTTCGAGTGTGGTTCAGTTGTAGCGGCACCGTGGCTGAGATCGGACGCGCGTGTGTCCCCCGTTTACCTGGCGACTCGCGCGGCCACGCGCGCGTCACTCCTTCGTCGCGTCCTCCGGCTTTCGGCCGCGGGCGGTGTCTGATCAGGCGCGCGGTTGCTTCACTGATCGGCCGGCGCCGCCGTCTGTTTCCACTGCGACCGGCCTCTTCCCGGAGAGTGAACGAAACGGACGCGGTGTCGCGTCAAATGGGACGCCTCGCTGTCGTCCGGACGATCGTTCGTCCGACGGAATCGGCGGCTGTTGAAATTGCGGGGAAATTCCCGAGAGAAGAGAACACACCGATGTCTCGGTGTGATGATGGAAGCCCCGGCAGCGCCGTAATTTGAGAGTTCAACGAAGGGGAGTCTCTCATTCGGGAAACTTGGGGAGTTATCTGAGTAAAGCTCTCTCTCTCTCTCTCTCCGGTTGCAGTCATGGGACCGAAGTTCCTCTTCGACTTCGCCGCGAGACTCGCGATCGGCTGGAGAGAGTGGTAACACGTATGCAGGGAGGCACGATGGTGCATTTTCGAATCGCATCCCGCGGAAAGTTGTGCGGCGCGCCGGAAGCGAGCCGGCCTGGGGCGCGCCGGGCGAGCGGTAACCCACCTGCCTGAGGTTAACGTTATGGTAACGTGAATCGATCGTCCGATTTTCGCTCTCCGTCCGCGCGCCGGCTGTTACGGACGTGCGTGCGTGCATGTCACGAGCGTTGATCGCCCGCTCGCTCGAAGAACGTGCAACCCGCGTCGGGGGGTGGACACGAAACTACACGCGGATTTTCAACTCGGTTGAAACTATCGCAAGCAAGGAGGGGAAAAAAAAGACGCTTCTCTTTCTTCCTCCTCCTTCCCACCCTCCGTAACTTCAGTTCCAAAGGTTATCCTCGCCGCGAAGGGCGCGCGCGGGGGCTGCCGTCATGAAGAAGACGCTCGCCGCATCGTCTCGAGGGATTGCCCGCCACGCGCAATTACGCAGTGCGAATTCGACGAGAGGAGAGCGTCGTAATTAAAGGACACGCGTGTGCCTCATCGGTCGGGGCGACTTGACACGGCGCTGTGATAAATGCTCGCTCGCGCCTTCGTACGACGGACGCGCTCTCCCGGTCGGATCGGATATGAGACTGGACGTTTCGAGCGGGAGAATTCCGACGGCGGATCAAACGAATGGGGGGCGCGGAAGGAGGAGGGAAGAGATCGAGGAGAGGGTGCGATGAAAGCAGTGATTCGTCCTTAAAGTCAGCTTAGACGCCCGGTATCGCGGGAGACGAGTCGTCCGAGAGCTGGGGAAAATCGCGTTCGGCTTCGATGTCCGACCGTCGGCCCCGTGATTCGCCTCCCCCGCACACGTGCAATCGTGAATCCCGACCCGCGAGAATCCTCCTCCCTCCCGATGCCCGGTCGAGCGGCGTCCGGAATTTCGCGTCGAACCGCGGCGACCGCCGCGCGTCGCCGCACGTGCGCGCGGTAAACCCGGCTTAAACCGGACGTAAAGTTCGCGGCGGATTATATCACACCGCGTATTACGGATAACCGGATCCAAGGGTAGAGTCCGCCCTCCCCGCGTGGGTGTCTTCGACGGCAGTGATGAGGGGCGTGCGTTGACGAAAAGTGCCACGGTCGCATCGCCGGCGAGGATGCCGAGGAAGTGAGGCTCACTCGAGACCGACGATGTCTAGACCGGGCAAGGATCCCGTGCAGAAGTGCCACTCGGATCCGGGCGCGGCGGCCGGCACTTCGTGCAGCCCCAGCAAGCGAATCTCGCGGCGACACATGCCGGCGTGCATACCGACCTCCCCGAACACGCGCAAGTGCGTCTTGACCTTGGACGGATACAGTTACGTTATCGGTGAGTAGAGGAGCCGGCGAGAGAGGTCGAACAACCGTTGCGCAAATATGCGTATCGACGGTGCGAATGCACGGTTTTTTACCCGCGGATAAATTCGGCACGCCGGTTACTCGCTCGTTACGGCAACGCGAGCGGGAGAACGAGGGGGGAGTAAATTGGCACAAAGCGCGCATCAAAGTCTCGGAGTGCAACGACGACCCGACTGCCCCTTTATTTTCCCTCCGTGAGGTAGAAAGGAGAGCGGAAAATGAAAGAGAAGGGAAAAGGTGGAAAAAGAGCGCCGGAAAATTAAGTAAAACTATGAATTAAAAAACTAACCGGGTGCGCTCCGGAGCTCGAGCCTTGCCGCGCGAGTCCTTCGTTAGGGCGGACCATTGTTGCGTTCGGCAACAATGCGCGCGCTGTCGAGTTCGCCAAACAGTCGAAATTTATAGCCGCGCGTTGTAACAACCGATGCATCCGCGCGGCAGGAAGAACAACCGGGGACGCTTTAAACGGACGGTAATTGCGGCGTAGCGCGGGATTTGCTCGCGCAGTGTGACGGTAATAATGCATTGCAACATTGAAATTCACACGTTTCCGAATGTTGCCAACCGAACGAATCGGCGATCTTACGCGCTCATCGCCGTGCGCCGGAGTTGTTTCGTCGTCTTTTGCGTTCGCACGACTTCGTATACTCCGTGCGCGACGCACCGCTTTTGTTGTCCCGGAGGATAATTAGCATTTTAGAACCGTGATGTAGCGCGCGTAACACGGTTAACAGTGTCGTTACGCGGCGCCCGACTCCGTGCATTAGTGTCTTGCGTTGGCGATATTTAAAATTACACGCGCGCTTGAACTCGGCTTTGTTAGCGGCGACGTATTAATTAGCCGCGAGCTGAAAACCATTAATAATCCAAATGTTACAATGAATACGGCGAAAAGAAGATAGGCGATTAATGAATTCAGATAAACGGACTGTTCTCACTTCTTGTGTGAAACGAATGGTTCGTTGCTTTCTTTATGCATTGAATGAAGGACTTGGCGACAATCAACAAGATTTGGTCGAACAGTTTCAACCAAATTCTTCGACCACTGCAACTCGTTTAGTACTGCATACGTTGTAGTATTATATATTGTATACAGTTTATGATATTAAATAATAATGTGATAATTAAAATGATAAAATGATAATTGCTTGCAATAACCAAACAGTTTAATGGAAGTTATTTAACCAAATCTTAATAATTGTTACGAAATTCTGTTTTCGATGTATATTATTTATTCATGCGAGGAAACGTTATACAGCCCGTTTATTGCTTCATATTTGACTCGTACGAATTAACAAAAGATTTGACGATAAGCGATAACTTTTTAATTAACTAATTTTTAATTAACTATTTAAGTGGTAATATTAATTGCGCACGCGATACATATGCATATCTCCATCCAAAACTAACTTTGCGCACTCTCTTTCTCTCTCTCTCTCTCTCTCTCTTTCTTGCACTAATTAAAGCAATGAACACACACGAAGAACACGCTAGTATGCAGTTTTATATTCTGAGCGCGCCGGTTTAATCAATCCAACCATGTGCGAATAACATGAAAGATATTGGGGAGATTTTGCACCTGAATTCAGAACATACTGTTGGAGTGAGAGTTCACTTTAATGTCTTTACTTACGCTATATATTTTAGTTTCCGTAAATAATACGAAAGGTTATCGTGTTCTTCCAATGAAATTCGCCCGGTTAACTTATCGTCGAAAATTTCGAATTTCTCGCCTCACGGATGCGTCATTCAGGAGACTTCAGTTATCACGTTTTCACAGTTCATATTCCACACATCTCTTTTGTTTCCATCAAATATCGCACGTGACATTATTGGAGATGGTAATTTGAAAGCGGAAGAATGAAGACATATGAGATCCAAGATTTCCGACGCATTTCCGATGTACCTGTAATCAGGTCGAAGCGACTCACGAGGAATTAAGAACTTGACGTTTCAGCAGATAAAAACTTGGTTGTGATGGCGAGGGGGGAGGGGGATTAATCCGGTTGAATTCCGTCTGAGCGCAATAAGTATCGATCTTTGTGTACTCTCGTAGAAGTTTTGTACTTTCGCGACCGCCACGGAAAAGGCTATCGGTCTTTCGGGTTCAATTATAGGTTTCCTATGTGCCAGACTCGGATGAGCATCGGCCGGCTCGCACCGCTCCACATATTCTCCGTGAGATCAATACTTCGATGTGTATTCCACTTTTGAAAATTAAAGAGAGAGCCGTTATGTGACGCCTCGATCTTGGCATTCTCGCAAACGCTTCGAAGTGCTCGAGGCAATTTTAAGGAGACCGGAACTCGCCAGCCCGTCGATCTTAGATTGGCGCGATAGCCGCGAACGTATCTCCTCGTCGGAATTCGAAGACAACGCGAAGAGAAAAGAGAATTTCATCTCCGTACAGTATATTTTCCATTAGAGGAATATTCACACTGAGAGAAAATTATAGTCAATCTCGGCGCCAAGCATAACTCTTCATGTAATTCGCTGTTTTTGCCAGCGCCATATGATTCACGCGTCACTCGTGGACGGAACCACTTCTCTCGCTATAGTTTAAGAAATGAAAACTTTAATTCTTAAATCAATAAATATATTATTATTCATGAATACGTTATATTATAAGAAAAAAAATACTCATATTTACAGAAAAAAGAAATTTGTAACATTACGTTTTTGTCAACGTCGTGCAATTCTTAGGTTATTTCAATAGCACTTGTGACTTTACGACTCGCGATTCCTCAGTAAATTGGCGAAAACCGCCGTGTATATATAATACGCGTATATATATAAGTACAGACTCTTCTTATCATCTATTCCCTTAATTGGGAGTTCCAGGTCTTCTCACTCTTAATTCAATCAAATTTTACAGTCAATTCAAATTTTTACCGTTCTCCAAGTGACCCATACAGAAAAAGAAATTAGTCTTAAATCGAGAATAGATATTCTCATATATAGACAAGAATATTATAATCTTAGAAGATCTTTGGTCTTGATTTGATTGAATTTGTATTAATACAAGTATCACTTTAACTCAGTTAGAGACTAAAAATATTCGAAGAATATTACAGGGTATATACAGTATCTTTGCTCATACGTGAGAACAACTATTTTTGACTTAGGACTCATTTCTTTTCCATGCACGGATCACGCGAGATTAATCACAAAAGTAGTCGGGAGAACCCTTTTTCCAGTAAGCGTTACTACAGTATCAATGATAATAACCTTATGCATATTGTTACTGCTGCAAAATATGAATCTGAAACTAACTATAATTCTCCATCGGCGCATGCACGCGCGATCGGTACGTATCCCGCGTGTGCGTGTGCGTTGAATCATAACTTTAGATATTTATCGGATCGCGACGATCATTTAAAACAGAGGTTCCGCGAGGCGATGCATTATTCATGAAACGGCGGTTGACTCCGCACTGCCTTTCTTCTGGTAGCTCTCTCACCGTCGCGCGGAGTAACATGATTATTTCCGCGTTATATCCATCCCGGTGCGTACTCGTCGGGTACAATCAGTGCGCCCCCTCCTCCCCCTCCCTACAATCTAATATAGAATTAATCCGGCGCCTCTCTACGCGGCTCGGTAATCGGAATGCGCGAGAGCTCATTGTAATTATAATCTCGCCGTTAATAATTAACGAATGCGCCGCACTCTCGCGTGTGGTGTGCGTGTGCATTCTGATCGCGGTCGTTGCGTCTCTCTCGTTGCGTATATCGCGTGCGTATACCGGCTGACGATATATCGGGCCGAAAAACCGCACGCGAGTGCGCGAGGGCAGTTATTAAGAATTATGCAAATCCGCCGTGCCGCGCCGTGCCCGAGCGCTTTTCTCACTTATCTCGCATATATTAATGCGGCAGAAAACAAGTGCGAAACATGTACCTCTTGCCGGCTAACCTTATTTCTTTCACGGGATACCGCGGAGCGTGAGGGCTACGGGGAGAGGGGGACGAGGGAGCCGCGCACATTGCGGCGTATATGGCCGTCACCGGGCGACGTAACTCGAAAACTACTATCATTAAAGCGAATTCAAAGGAGGTCGCGAAAAAAAGAGAAGAAGAAGCGGTTCGGTTAACGAAAGACGTATGCAACGCAGTCGGTTTTAAAAGGCTCTCATTTTTACGATCCTCTCGCGTCTCTTCGCGTCTTCCTCCTCTCCCCCCGCCGTTCGTTACATCTTTTCGAGGCGCTACAATACGCGATATTAACGCAGATCTTTTCGTCACTGCATTCTCGTGCGACCAGTAGCGCGCGCGCACACACGACGAGGTGAGAACAGAGTCGCTCTGTCTTCTCGTCCTCTTCTTTGCGATTCCGCGTCTCCGGTGCGCGGAATCCCGCTCGTTGCTTCGAATCTCTTAATCCGCGAGGGGTCTCCGGATCTGCAAAGTTCGGCTTCGGCGAAACGAGAGCCGTTTAATGAGAACAACATCCTTTACCGGCGACGATCTTTGTCTTGTTCTCCCCCTTACCGCTCCGCGGTTTTTCCGCCTTATTACAGGGAAATTAGCGAAACCGTTATTTGTGGATGGTACTATTCGTTGAAATTAAATTTCTTTGCGCGCGTCCGTTTCCTCTAACACCGAGCCGAGAGATGTAATAGAATTGCGGCGGCGTCTCCAATTTGTGGGGGTTTAATTAATCCCGTGACATTTGGCGGAAGAGAAGGTTGATATTCTATTTCCATCCTCTATCTCTGTTGTCGCACACGAATCGCTACATCGTCCATCAATTTTCTCTGACGTTAGCCGTCGCGGAAACGCGCATTATGGATAACGCATGAATCGGCTAATTAAGCCGCGCGTCGACGAGAAAAAGGAAAGAGGGAACCCGGCGCCCCTTCGCGGCTCACGATGCGTTCGTTTCGAGGCGTTAAAGCAATATGTGTACCCGTTGTAATTATACGCGATAATTCGCCGAACCTATATTTACTCGCGAGGTAGATAGAAAATAGAG